CTAACACAGACTGTACTGTACTGTGGTGCTTTGTTTATTTAAGGTGGGTTTGTTTGTTTTTGTTTTTGTTTTTGAGACAGGGTCTCACTGTATAGTCCAGGCTGGCCTTGACTCACTATGTAGTCCACCGAGGCTAGCCTGGAACTTGTGGCAATCCTCCTGCCTCAGCTTCCCCAGTGCTGAGATTACAAACGTATGCTGCTTTTAGTCACTCGTGTTGCCCCTCACCCCTACTTCTCCAATCCTGGCCCGCCGTCACCTCCTCAGAGACTGTCACATTCTTGGAACCTTGGACACTGTGTGGTGCTTGGAAGGGAAGCAGTCTAGTGTGCTGGTCAAGGCTCTGTGTTCTTGGGTTGGATTTCAACCTGGTCCCTTACTAGTCGTGCAAACTTTGGACACATTTCTTAATCTCTGAACATCAGTAAACAGGGTGAGAAGGATACCTTTCTCACAGGTGTCAGTTTTGTTTTTGAAAGAGGGTCTCACTATGTTGTTTAGGCTGGCCTTGAACTCACTATGTAGCCCAAGCTGTCCTTGAACTTGAAGTGATCCTCTTGCCTCAGCCTCTGACATGCACCATGACACCTGGCCTCATAGAGTTGTTGTGAAGATGAAGGAATTGAATATATGTAAAGCACATCACTGTACAAAAATCTGCAGATACTTAAATCCATTATAGAAAATGATATCATATTTATGTAGACCCTACCTATACATATTCTCCTGTAGACTTGAATAATCTCATGCTTCTAATAACCTATTCCAATATAAAAAATAGTTGAGACTTTGTTTCTGGGATGACAAGAAAAGTCTGTGTTCAGATGCATTGAAACAAAATGTTAATAAGCAATGAAATGCTTTTCCTATGTGGAGACTGGATACATGTGCAGTATAGAAAGTCTGTTCAGCTGGAGTCTGCAGCAGAGAGGCAGACTTGGGCCAATTCTCATGTGGAGTAGCAGTGTCATTGGGGTCAGCAGTGATGTCCTGCAGCTGATGGCACAACCTGCTCTGGGGCTCAGGACAGGGCTCTGTGCCGTGAGAATCCCACTTGGCATTATCTGCCCTGCCTCAGGGTTAGAAAGGCCCCAAGGGGGTATGAACAGAGAGAAGAGGGACAGGCAGAGATGATCAGCACAGAGGCACGGGGTGTACCTGACGTGGGGCACAGAAGAGGAAAGCCGGAGTCACACCAGGGAGCCAGGGAAGGCGCTCAGTGTAGTCACAGCAGAGAGAGCTCAGCTGGAGGGGGATTCTAGAAATGCATCCCAGGGTTGGCCTGAGGCGGTCACCTGTTGCCTGGCCATGGGCAGCTGTCATTGGCCAGTCAGGCGGGAGTCAGCCTGCTGCAGCAGGGAGTGGACAGGAGGGGAGGCATCTCAGGGGCCCCTTTTGGAGGAAAATAGCCGGGACACTGGAGGCACATGAGAGTCTAGCAGGGAGTGCTTGACAATGCCAAGGGAGGCAGGGGCTTTTGCTGGGGTTGAGCAGCTGGGCTCAACCCTCAGGGGAAGGATACATCCACTGTGAATGGGGGAGGTGGGCTAAACTGTGAGTGTGTCTGTCAGGGGTGGCCCCTGTTCCCCTGGTTGCGGGACAAAGATCACAGAGAAATCTGAAAGTCCTGGGTACACAGTGGCCTCCAAGTCAGCTCGGCTGAGTGTCTTGAGGCAGGTGTCACAGGATGGGTTCCCAGGGCCACAGAGTAGGCACAGGAGGCTGAAAGAGGCCCTGTAGCTGGAATGACACAGGCCAGAGGGTTGACACAACAGGAGGAGATATGGGGATGTGGGCTTAGTGACAGATAGGACCGAAGCCTGCGGCTCCCACCTGTTGGCCATGTTGCCCACATCGCCCTGTTCTCCTGTAACTCCCCTTGCCTTGTCCCATCAGTGCGCTCCCAGGACCCTGGCCAGCGGCGGGTGTTGGACCGGGCAGCCCGGCAGCGGCGGATCAACAGGCAGCTTGAGGCCTTGGAGAATGATAACTTCCAGGACGATCCCCATGCAGGGCTCCCGCAGCTTGGCAAGAGGCTGCCTCAGTTTGATGATGATGCAGACACTGGTGAGGAAGGGGACACCAGTGGGCGGCCACTGGTGGGAGACAGGTGACTCGGGGAGCCCCAGGGGTTTGTGAGCACCCTCCCCTGCTGTGTCTCAGGGTCCTTGTGTGTGACGGTGAAGAAGGTGAGCTGAGCTGACATCACTTTTCAGTTTGGGGTATGTGGAGGTGACGGTGGGCCAGGATTGGAGAAATAGGGGTGAGGGGCAAAGGCCCACAGGGAGGGAAGGCTCAGACGCAGGTCAGCATGGGCAGCGATTGTACCCAGGGTCTGAGAGCGCTGAGCTAGAGAAAGGTGGTGGCCTTCTCTGCAAGGGGCCAGCACCCTGTCACTCTTGGCCCCCAGGAAAGAAAAAGAAAAAAACTCGTGGCGATCACTTCAAACTTCGCTTCCGAAAGAACTTCCAGGCCTTGCTGGAGGAGCAGGTGAGAGAGGAGCCAGTGGGGGATGCTGGCAAGGGCAGCTGGCAGAGATCCTGTCCCAGGGCTGTGAGCGGCATAGCAGGTGCGGTGCTCCCGTTTTGTGTGCAGAACCTGAGTGTGGCCGAGGGCCCCAACTACCTGACGGCCTGTGCAGGGCCCCCATCCCGGCCTCAGCGCCCCTTCTGTGCCGTGTGTGGCTTTCCCTCTCCGTACACCTGCGTCAGCTGCGGTGCCCGCTACTGCACCGTGCGCTGTCTGGGCACCCACCAGGAGACCAGGTGAGCCCGGCCGCACCCACACCCGTACCCCGCCACACAGCCTTCCCAGACCCTTGACTGCTCTCCTCCTCCCGGCTTGCTCTCCTCTGCAGGTGTCTGAAGTGGACCGTGTGAGCCTAGTGTCCCTGAAAGGAAGCCTCAGTCCACCACCAGCCTGTGAAGTACGTGATCAAGAGGGGTGCCCCCGGATGGAGGGAAGAGCCACTCACTCACCCAGCACGCTGTGTCCTGCCCTAGAGGCGAGGCTTTCTTAGGAACTGTGGGCACTGTGGGAATAAAAGGCCTGGTGCCAGGAGTCTTCTGCTTGGTTTTGTTTTGTGTTTTGGTTTTGTGAGACAGGATCTTATTTCTATAGTTCAGGCTGACCTTGGACTTGCAGCAGTCCTGCCTCAGCCTCCTGAGTGCTGGGATTATAGGTGATTCCCACCTGCTGGGTTTTGGGGTCCTAGGGGTAAGGAACTATCACTCTTACTCACTGCTCTGTCTCTTCCCCTGACTTGCCATTATCTGCTCCTTGGTGTCTCTGATAGAGATTTTGTCCCATTCTGCCACTTCCTCAGCTCATCTCTTCCTCCCTTAGCTGTTTCTTCTTTTGTGGTTATTGACCTAGGGTTGTTTTTTTTTTTTTTTTTTTTCCTTTTTTTGTCTCTGGATCCTCTGAGTATTTTCAAAGTACAGCCACGTTCCTGGGTGACCAAGAAGTGGGCTGAGGGCTGGAGATGGGCACAGGATATTGCAGAAGGAGCCAGGCCTGTCTTTGTCTTCTGAAACATCTAAATGGGTTTTCCTCTCTGTGCCATGAGCCTGAGCAAGCAGTTGTCCTTAGGATGCCCTGTTGTCCTTAGACACCAGAAGCTCCTGGGACGCACAGTCCTATCCTTGGTGGCCCCTTTTCACTACCCCTTCTCAGACCCTCACTTATCAAGTAGGTAGCAGGATGTAATCTCACTCTCTTGGGGTCATTGGTAAAGCACTTAGCAAAACAGAGTCCTTGCATTTGTTGAGCAAATGACCTTAAAATATTAACAAGGCACAGCAAAGCCAATGCTCGGCACCTTCTTAGGCTCTTCCCTCTGTTTTAGGAGACAGTGCTTCCCTGGGGACATGCTTTCTTTTTCTCTGGAAACTCACAGGACAAGTGGTGTTAGTGATAGCTTCACATTGGATGGTGGTGGTGGCCATAGGGTTTAGGGGTAATACAGATATGGTAGTTTCCAGGGTATCTTTATTTTTATTTTTTATTTTTTGGCAGAATCGGGGATTGAACTCAGGCCCTTGCGCTTGCCAGGGAAGCACTTATACCACTGAGCCATCTCCCCAGTCCCCTGCAGGTTGCCTTTAAGTTCTGTCTTTTTTTCTTGAAAAGGTAGGTGTTTGTTCCCTGCCCTTGGAACTTGGGCCAGCTTGTGACTGTGCCCATGGCAGAGAATGGCTGGAGTTAGAAAAATGGCATCTAAGGCTAGGTCAAGAAAGCCATGCAGAGGGGCCATGTGCAGAGACCCTCGCTGTGAGGCCCAGGTAAGCCAGGCTGCGTGCTTACCCTGCCAAGATGCAAGTGGTAGTGTGGAGATGCCTTCAGGTGGTTCTAGCACCTGGCAGCAGGTTACCTTCAGTCCTTTGAGTCTCCCCCGCTGTGGCCTCTGCCACTATGGAGTGGAGACAGGCCACCTCGCTGCACCTGTCTGAATCCTTAGCCACACAGGCTGTGTGCGTATTAAGTAGTTGTTTATGCCGCAGAGTCCTGAGGTAGTAGCAGCAGTAATGGGCACTATAGGTCCCGATGGAGGCTGCAACTCCTGCTTTGGTTTATTGTTTTTCTCAGGAAGCAAAATGGATCTGAAGCCAATCCCTCTGTCAGCCCTTTCCTTTCTAGTAGAAGTACATGCGAGCCAGCGAACACGGAATAAAGTCTTTTTTTTTTTTTTTTTTGGTGGAACTGGGGATTGAACTCAGGCCCTTGCGCTTGCCAGGGAAGTGCTTATTCCACTGAGCCATCTCCGTGGCCCCAAGAAAGTCTTTCTTGAGAAATGCTGCCTGATTCATAGCATGTCAGCAGTCTCCTCTGGTTCATTCTGCCTTCCCTGGTCTTGTCTCAGTCATACCCGTTCTACATGGTGGGAAATCCCTAAATTCCCAAATGACCTTGAGAGGACAGAGCCAGACTGTGGAGGAAGCATGGGTGCCCCCCCCCATAAAGTAGAAACTGCCTCCCCACCCGCAGAAAGCCTGAGCAGTTTTGCCAGCTTGCTTTGTGCCAGGGGAGACTTCTTGTCTTTTGACAATACTTAGTCTTTAGGAAATATGTACCTTGCCAAAAGCTTCTGGAAGCTACACCTTGTATCAGGATAAGGTAAGCACCACCATCCTAGGAATGAGGAAAGAGGTTGGTGCCAGGGTCTGGAAGGCTGGAGATGGGGATTCCTAAAGTTGCATTTATTTGAATTAGGAGAGCTAGGAATTCTGGGAAGTGAAGCAGTTTTGTTTTCAGCTTTGGAGAAATCCTGGCCCTTACCAGGGTGGTCCTTTTACCTCTTTGCCTCTGGTATAGCCACCTCCCTGATTATGGCAACCAAGAGACTGTCCACTTGTCCAGCTTGCTTAACATAATAGCCAGATTAAGGACATGCCCAAGTGCTCAGTTGTAGGTCTCTGCTCGGGTTAGTTTCCTGAAAGGAAGAGGAGTTGGTATAGCCTAGAGAAGAGAGGGGGCTGCTGCTCCCCGATTGGCTGGCTGGTCACTAGTCAGTGCTCAGAGGACACATGCCTCGGGCCTTGCTCCCCTCTTGTCCCATGGATGCCAGGCTTCTGTCCAGATCTCATTTTCCTCTCGAGTTGGGTACCAGCGAACCTGGTGTGAGCTGGACGCCACCAAGCCTTGCCGTGCACAGATCTTTAGAGCATTTTTTGGAAGTTACTAACCAAAGAAACACGTTTGCACTGAGCCAGCTGATCTGGAGCAGAGCTCCAAAGAGAATGCCCATCCCTGACATCCACACTGGGGCTAGTAAGGAAACTGTTCTAGACCAGATCCCCAGCTGCAGCCGGGAGAAGAGAGGTACAGAGCAAGGGGGTGCGGCGCTTCCCATATCTGTCCCCTGGTGGCAAATTACTGTCATCCTCTTGAAATCACTTGCAATGCTTGTGTTTTGCTGAAGGAGACAGCCTGACTTGTCTCCTGGTATGAGCTCTCACCTCTTGCTAGGCTGGGCACTTACTGACAGCCTCACACTTTGAGGAATCTCAATGTACATTTATTCGTGCATATACTTATACAGAATGCAAACGCTGGAAGCCACCTCCATCCCCTCAGCCCCGGAAGCCTAGGTGAGTTTTCAAGAGCCATCCGGGGCCTGCAAGAGGCAGGAAGAGTGCCCAGGTGAGAGGTGTGTCCTAGATGTGGTTGCTGGACACAGGGTGTGGCCTGCCCTGAGATTATTCCAGGGAGGATGGGATCCTGTGGTCCCCCTCTCCTCGGGCCAGTGGGGTCCACAGGCCAGAGCGCCTACACATAGGCATTTTTGCCATACTTTCCAAAGCTGATGTCGCCATCTTCCTGTGAGGCTGGAGAGGGCCTCTGAATCGTGGACGCCTTATAAGGAAGCTGGGCCCTGTTGGGAGTGGGGGTGCAGGGTCACAGGGAGGTCTGGCCCTCCCCACCTGTCATGCTGTCCACCCCTTCCCTACCTGGTGACATGGTCCTCTTTGGAGGCACAGCAGCAGTTGGAGCAGAGGCAGATGCCACCCAGGATGGACAGCAGGGAGGCGCTCCAGCCCAAGTAGAGGGCAGGGCCTAGCTCATATCTGGTGCCAGGGTGACAGGAAGGGGACAGGTAGTGAGTGCCAGCCTGGACACTGGAGACCCACCAGCTGCTCCCGAGGGCAGGCTTCTCACTCACTTGGTCCCAGCATACAGAGGGTTGAAGAAGTCCTGGGTGATGTTGACTGCATACCAGGTGATGGCCACCATCCCACAGGCCCCTGAGAGGCAGGAGGACCGACAGTGCCCCTTAGCCACAGTGCAGGTGGGTGATTGGGGCTTGGGAAAGGGGCAGGCAGGGGGAGTAGGTCAAAAGCCACAATTTCATTCAGTTCCTCTCCTACTGCCTATATATGCCCTCCTATTCCTGGGTTGAACTCTAAACTTCCCAACCTGGTGCTCAGGCCCCTATCCTAGCCCACCCTCTCCTGCAACTCTGGCCTGATCCCTGGCCTCTATCCCAGACCAGCCTTGTTTATTTGTTCTCCTAGGACCTGTGTCACTCCCTGCCTTACCTGGAATCTGACCATCCCAGTCCTTCTAGCCTCCAAAGCTCATCTGCCCAATAAGTCTTCCTGGCCTGCCTTTTTGAAGTCCCTTTCCTTTGGTGTCCCAAAGCCCTGAGCCCTGGCCTATCCTCCAGAAAGCTAACTGACCTTTCTGACAATTCCCACCCTACGTGTGCAAACTGAGAAGCTACACCCAGTTGATGGTGTTATGTGCAGTGTATTCAAATGCTTACACACACACACACACACACACACACACACACACACACACAGCTCCGGACCACACTCTAAGCTCTGGAAGGAAGTCTTTTCCCACATCTGACTACACCTGCCCCAGTGGGACCCAAGAAACACTGCTGATGGCTTGAAGTGGATCCCAGATATGTGGCATGCACAGGTGGGTGAGGTGTACACAACTGAGTGGCGGAGGGCAAGTGTCAATATGTGGGGAAGGCAAGGAAGTCTCAGCCCCTGGGAGGTAGGCAGGAGGACAGGGTACAGGGGCCGTCCCTAGGCCCTTCTTTCTCAGTTACCCGCTAGTATGTGTAGGATCCCTCCGGTGGCCGCCAGCTTGACCTTCACGGAGAGCACCGTGCTCCCAACTGTGATGCAGCGCAGCCCCAGCATGCCCAGGAAGAGGCCCAGGAAGCCCAGAAGGATGGCGGTGATCATGAGCGCACGGCAGCCCTGGACATACCCTAGGGAGGGGACGCAGCTGTCAGCCTTTCCCATCCACTGGAGCCAGCTGCGTCCAGCTCCTGCTCAGGCTTGGGTTCTTGTCTATCCTTTTCCCCCTCTCTTCCTTCCTCTTTTTCTTTCAGTCCTGGGGGTTGAACCCAGGACCTTCCCACTGAGCTAAATCCCCACCCTATTCCCCTAATTTGGGGACAGGATATGTTAAGTTATTGAATTGCTCAAGCTGGTCTCAAACTTGAAGTCCTTCTGCCTCAGCCTCACAGACTGCTAGGATTATGGACACACACCACCGTGCCCAGTGCCTCTTGCCCTATGGGCTCCCCCTAAGTCTCCCTCACACATCGTGACTCTGCAGCCTGCACCTCCTCTGCTGGGGGCACACTTACGTATACCTCTAGCACAGGGCTTCTCCTGAGCTCTAAGACGCTTTGGGCCACATGCGTAGTTCTAGGGGTTGTCCTGTGCCCTGGAGGGCTGGGCAGCATCACATCCTTGACTTCTACCAACTGGGTGCCTGCAGCAAGCTCCCCTTTCCCCCAAGTCGTGGCAACCAAGGTACAGTCATCCCCAGCCAAGACTGTCAGGCCACGCCCACGTTCTGTCGCTTGTTCTAGAAAGTGCTTCTAGCCACATCGCCACATCTGAGCCCTCTCCAAGTCCACACAGCCTAGCGAAATGCAAACATCTTGACTTGAGTTTCTCCCAGAGTGACCGGTAGGGGGCAGCAGTGTATGTAGCAGAGCGTCAAGGGCAGTTCCTGATCCAGAAAGTGGAACACCTGACCCTGGAAGATCCAAGTCAGTCTAGACCGTAATCTTTCTGTGGCTGTTTCCCCTGTGGAGAGACTGGGTCCCTGCCAGCAAGAGGAGAAGCAGCTGAGAGCTGGTGGTGGGGAGGAGGGACAAATTTCTCCAGGAGGCTATTCCAAATTCTAGCCACTCTTCAGTGTCCCTCAACTCTGAGTCTCCAAGGAATTCTGGTGGCCAAATGAGAGAAGATTGCAGGGTCCAGGGGCCCAGGAGGGGACCTCATGGAAGAAGCAACTGGGCCCTGGGCTCGGGCACAGTGAGTGGGGTCCCCATAGGCCCGACCCATTCTGTGTCTCTGAGCAGCTGTTGTAGAATGAAGTGACGGCATTTAGCCAGCATCAGAGTGGCAGCAGGAACCACCACCTGCACAGGCAGCAGTGTGTCCTCTTTCAGGCCTATGGCAGCAGTCCCACATGGCACCTTTTAGGGACACAGACTCAGCCAAAAGCCAGTCTCATGCCACAGTGTGTGAGGGTTGCATGCAATGGTCTGGTCAGGCTACTAAGCTATTGCCACCACTGTCCCTTCTGCCACCCAACCCAGGTTTGACTCAGTATTTTTTCTTTTGTTTCTTTGGGGGAAGCAGTACTGGGAGCTGAATCCAGGGATACTCTACTACTGAGCTATACCCCTAGCCCCCCACTTTTTTTTTTTTTTAAGAAACGGTATCAATAGTTCAGGCTAGTCTTGAACTCACTGTATAACCCAGGCCACTCTCAAACTCGCAGCAAGCCTGCCTCTGCCTTCTGAGTGCTGCGATTATGGTTGGGCCACCTCATCCAGTTGGGTCGAACTCTACTGTGTTTTGAGGCCACTTGTCCTACACACAGTGGGCACTGGAGACTGATGAAAGCAGGAAGCCCCACAGTTCCCTCAGGAGAGCTGGAGAGTGGGGACTGAGCAACTGCTCAGAGCACCTTTGCCACACACAGGGCAGTTTTGGCAGCCCTGCTTCCCACCCAGTGCTGGCTTCTGCTCCTCCTCACCTGTCTCCCACCTGGCTTCGGTGCCTGGAAGGAGACAGTGCCCAGGGACCCGAGGGGGCGTGCACCAAGGGTTCATGGCCATTAACTCTTGGTCTCCAGCATGGGCACATGAGGGAGGCTCTGGGGAAAAATGACAGGGCCCCGTCCTAAGTGGGGAGCAGGAGGTGGGAGGAGCTGCAGCCATCAGCACTGTTGGGGGCTAAACAGAGCTGTCAGCTGCAGCATTCTGAACTTGAGGGCACAGTGAGAAGCCCAAACAGACCTGCAAGTCCACCCAGCACCTGTTTACACTAGAAACCCCACCTACCAGGTGCCTCCCACTACCACCAGGCCTTGACACGAAGCCAAGACCCATGGACACCCAGGGACACTGCTGAGACCTCAGAATACCACCGCCAACAGCCCAAGACACAGCCCCCACAAGTCCCACCCCAGAATAAAATACTAGAATCCATCCTGTGCACACAAATGAACAGCGAGTTAATGGCTGCAGGCTTGGTCGTACGCAGTCTTCACCACCACCTACTGTGGACTGCTGCTGCCGTTATCCTAAACTTGCTGATGGCCCACAAGAACCTCATGCATCACTTGCCCAGGACACAGAGCTCGCAAGCAGGAGCTGTGCCTGGCAGCTTGATTCTGGAGCCCATTCCTGTAACCACAGACAGGCTGTGTGTCACAAGCTTTCATTGCCAGAGCAGTTCTCCAGAACTCCTGGCTGCATCGGCAGAACCCAAAGCTTGACCCCAGCCTCTCTATCCTAAAGGCATCTGGGGCCAGACCAAAGGCAGCTGCTGCCCACTCCTGGGTCTTCCCACCCTCACCTCCCTCTGCTCCCCAGGGCTTCCCCAGCCTGTACCAGAGAGGGCCAGCATGGACGGGAACTCCCAGCAGTTGGAGACACCCAGGGAGTCAGTGGCACAGCTATACCAGAGGTTCTCGTAGATGGTGTTGGTGGTGATGACATTCCCGTGAACGGTGGACACTCTCCAGTAGCTGTTCGGCAGGGTCACCCCCAGCATCAGTAGCCCCAGGGCTGCCACAAAGAAGCCAAAGGTCTCCACAGCTATCGACATCCTGGGATGCAAGCCCCAAGGGCCTGGGGCCCCAGACGGGCAAGGAAGAGCTGAGGGATCCCCTGGGGAATTTTAAGTGCCTCTGGCCAAAGATGAGTGTTGAGGTAGGGAGGGAAAGAGGAAAGGGTACAAGTCCATCAGCCTCTGTCTGCCCCTTCCTCCAGCTCCGCTCCAGCTCCAGTCCGGCTCCAGGTTTCAGTCTCCCTCCTTCCTGGGTCACTGTGCTTCCCAGCAGGTCAGAAGCATTTGGCAGCTGTTGACAGGAGATGGAGAATAAACGGGCCAAAAGTCCACCCCCTCCCCCTGGCTCTGGGCCTGGCTCCCCGCCCCATGAGTCTACCCAGGAGACTAACGGATAGGCCAGAAGGGGCCCCCACGGGAGGCACTGGACTCTAAGGGGGAAGCGGCTGTCTCTGACTCAGCTTTCATCAGGGGCCGGAGAATGGGGTAAGACAAGGAAGGAAAAGGTGAGCGAGACTGGAGAGGACCTGGAAACAGAGATCAACTCCAGCAGGCTCACTGCAGCCATTCTGTGAAGGGTGGTGGGAACAGAGCTACCTTGCATGGTGAGAACTACCCAAGACACTCAGGGCCCTAGGGGTTGGAGCACTGGATCTGAAAAATGATAACTAAGGGGCAGGCAGCTGGAAGAGACCACCAGCTATGGAGGTTAGCCAACCCAGATTCAAACCAGACTTAGTCACTTCCCAGGGACTTGGGCTGCTGGTTTCTGCTTCTGTCCACTGGAGGTCCAGCTACTGGCCTTTCAGACTGTCACAGCATTAGGACCACCAGTCCCTGCACATCCCTGGGGACTGTTGTGGATCTGAGTACTGCAGGCAGAGGGGAGGCACCAGAGTTGCACTCCTCCACACTTCCTGAAGTTGAATGTCCCCTTCCTCGAGTTGACCTTTGACTCGGCCTACCTCGATGCCAAGGGTCTGGTGGGGGGTGTGGATCACTGGCGCAGGTCATGATCCTGTACTAATCTCACCAGCTCAGTGCCAGACTGTTAGCCAGCCAGCTCCTTATGATGGTGATTAGAAGCCTCTGCACCCCACTCCAAGGCGGGCTGAACACCTGCTCTGGTGCAACTGCTCCCCCGTAACTGCCCAGCCCTCCATTCCCGCATCAGACACCAGACTCCTCCGTGCCTCTTCCCTCCATGGCTGGGCAGGCTGTGGAATGAGCGGTATGCAGTGATGCAAACGGGCCCACGCGCAGCCTGGCACGAGGGGGCGTGGGATGAGCCTGGCAGGTGGAGCCTGGCTTCCCGTCCATGGGCTGCAGCTGGGGCCCCCTTGCCCCTGACCTACCCAAGGCCCCTGCCTCCGCATGCCAAGTCCGCTTCCTTCCCACCACCACTGCTCCCATATTCCCCTGAGGGATGGGGCAGAAGGAAGAGGAGGGCACAGGATGACAAAGGGAGGGAAGGGCGGAGGCTTGGAGGAAGCCCAGGGCAGGCTTCTGCCATGGAAAACTCCACAGGCTAAGAGGCAGCTGAGTGGGTCAGAGGAGACTGGAGCTGTAAATCCCAGACTGGCCACTCGGCATGGCTGCCTCTCCTCTTCTGGTCACTGCTTTGTCCCAGAACTTTGGGGCCACTGAAAGGCCATATTTCCGTGCTTTCCACCACTGCTCAAAGATGTGGCTTCGGGGAAGGGAATGGTGTGGGTGGAGCCCCACATCACTGGAGGGCAGGAGCAAGGGGTACAGGACAGGAAGGACCATGGATGACCCTGGTGTGCACAACCCCCTCCCCCAACTCAGACACAGTTTCCAAGTTTGGCTCAATTTTATTTACACTCATCCCAAACCACATGACCTGGGGCTACATGACAGGTCTCAGGGAAGCAGAGGTGGAAGGCCCCAGAGGACAATGACAAGGGTGCAGGGGAGAGCAGGGAAAGGCCTGCAAGGATGGATGGATGGCTCCTCTCTGGGAAATGCCCTTGGGGGCACTGGGTGGAGGAGCAGGTGCAGTCTCCTTCAGGATTTGGACTTGGACACAGCAAGTCCGATGAGTCCAGCTAGTCCTGCCACGCCCAGGGCCATACCACCTACGATGGCCATGCCCACCAGACCATCTGGGGAAAGGAAAGGGGAGGTTGTCAGGAGCTCAGTCCAGCCCTCGTTCGGACCCTGATCATGGCTTCCCCAGCCCCACCACTCAACAGGAGAGGTCCACTGCTACTTGGAGTCTCTAGGTTGGGACTCCAAGGGTTGGGGACAGACAGCTTCAGGAAGGTGGGTCTGAAGTGACTTTGGGGGATGGGTGGTTCCTTTAAAGATACTCCAGGGGCCCAGGCATGAGGGAAGGAAGAGGACTTAACAAAGGGTAAGGATTTCACCTTTCTTCATAGCCTTGTCAATGAGCCGTTCCAGCTCCTTGGCCTGGTTGTTCTGGGGCTCCGTCTGCAGCAGGCCGCGCACGTACTTTAGGGCCTTTTCATATTCCTACACTCAGGGGAAACACCCCCCACATAAGCATTATGGACTCCAGCACTCCCATCCAACTGGGTTGCCTTCCCTTCTCCAGCCCAGCCTCCTCCCTCCCCTCCTCTTGTCATCACATCAGCCCCGCCCAATGGAGTAGAGTCCACAAACAGCCTCAACTGTATGGGGTGATAAGCCAGGGGTGATAACAGTCCAAGGCTTGGGGCTGTACTCCCATCTTGACGTCAACTTGGTCCCCACACCCTCAACACCCTGATCCTCTCACCTTCCTTCAAAATGCTGTCCTGAAACTACCTTGCACCCACTACCACTCCTGCCTGCCTGCCTGCCTGCCTGCCCTGGTGAGGAAGTTGGCTGTCCACCCAAGTAGGGTACAGTAGGAAGAAGGGAGCCTTGTGGTTTTACCTTGAGCCGGTAGTTGCCCACAGCCAGGTAGAAGACATAATCCCGTTGTTCCTCTTTGCTCCCTTTGGGCAGCAGCTCTGGGGAGAGGGAAGGAAGAGGTGAACACTGCTTTTCTTTTTCTAATACTGTATCCCAGAGAATCTGCCGTTCTTGGAATCACTCTATAGTCCCAGGAAGACTGTCCTGGCTCTTCAAGTCAGCTCCAGGCCTTCTCAACTTTTTATTCAGAGCTCCAGGGCAGCAGGAGTGGAGGCTGCCACAACACTCCAGGGACAGACACAGCAGAATCAATACTACATTCACCTTTCGTATATCCACACAAATGTGAAATCAAGGTACCATAGAAGACAAAGGCAGTATAATGTAGTAATTATTGAAAATGTCCTATTAATCAGCTTTGAAACTGTCTCATTGATATTTGTTTCTCAATAAAATAAAATTTAAAAAACTGAAATTTAAAAAAAAGACAAAGGCAGAGCCATTTATTGTTAACGGTAAGTCTATACTCCCTCCTCTTTACTTCACTGTCTCTGAATGATCCTACCTGACTCCTTAATTCAGTGACCTCCCAGAGGCTTAGGTGTGGGGTCCTCAGTGCCAAAACCTTGCCCAGTGCCTGTTCTGGCTCCCCATCTGCATGGTAATGCTGAGACCACTTCTACTACTGTGCCCTGCTGTAGAGCAGACCTGAAAAATTTGACTCACACGACAGATGAATACAGGGAGACAGTATTTTTATAGCTCTATGATAGGCTACTATAGCTGTCTTTCTGTATCCTCAGGGATTGGTTCCATGTCCCCTCCTAGGATTCCAAAATAGATGCTTCAGTCTCATATATAAAATATTGTAATGTGATCTATGCATGTCCCCCACATAGTTTAAATTATCCCTAGATTATTTATAATACCAAATATAACATAAGTGCTCTGTTAACAGTTGTACTGTTTAGGGTATAATGACAAAATAAAGTGTACATATTTGGGGGGAAATTTTTTTGTTTCCTCCCAATATTATGGATCTGAATGAACTGCAGATGTGGAACCTGCAGATACAGACAGCTGCCTGTGCAGCCCTTTGCTGTAGTGAATTTACTGGTTGGGGACGGTACTGTGAGGGAGAGTGCCATGCAGAAAAGGCTCCTAACACGAGCTGGAGGGGGCAAATGCGCCACATGGTAATAAAGAAGGATACAAAGGGCAGTGGGATGGCGAGGGGCCTCACTCACCCTCCAGCAGTGCGATGCCCTTACGGATGTCATCATTGTACTTGCTCCGCACCAGGCACCAGGCATACTCAAACTGTGTGCTCTTGGACACTGAGCCTGCTGCTTGCTCAGACTGAAACTTCTTCTCAAACTTCTGCCATAGGAGAGGAGAGAAACCATTTAGAAAGGAAGGGTATCAACCAGTCTCTTTCTGGACCTGGTGTCCATGTCCCATTACATTCCACATCTTCCTGGCGCTGCCCCTGTTTCCCTAGGGTTTTGGTACACAGCACCCGTAGCCTATTATATCTGTCCCCATTCTCAGGGATGGTGGGCCAGTTTGGGACCAGCGCCCCCCCTCCGCCCCGCCCAACCAAGTGGAGATGCCACCTGGTGGTAGCTCCAGGCGCCGCTCCCAGAGCAGCTGACCCGAGTGGCTGAACAGTAAACATACTGTCCGAACGGCCCAATAAGCCCATACGGTCCTCTAGGGCTGCTGGTTCCCTCCCGCCCCGCCCTGCCGGCTCTGGACTTTTATTTTATCTGTATAAAAATAATGCCGATCCCCCACAGTTACAAAGACTGAGATCTGGTATGAATGAAGGAAACACCATGCCAGCCTACCTAATGTGTGAAACTTTGATGGTTGCCGTATCCCCTACCACTGAATAAGTCTCCTGAACATCCAACTCCCAGAACCTGTCAGCCTTTCCGAAACATTTGGACTCCAGCAGGCCTTAGGTCTGAGGGGCGGAATCGCAAGGAACTACAAGTCCCAGTAGGCCCTGGGACAAAGCACATACTTTGGGCAAGAAATGGGCGCCGCAAAGGCTGGTGGGAGTGGTAGTTAGGCTTCCTTTAGCAAAGTCGAAAACTGCAAAGGGTTTGGCTGTACCCAACTCTCAGGACCCTCCCTCTGACTTTTCTCTTTGCCTCCCGCGGGGCCAGGCCTCACCATCAGATCATCCACAGACACCAGGTCGTTCAGCACGGCCTCCATGGCCACCGCCCCCACAATCCTTATACCACAGGCTCTACTGTGCCACAGTCTCCATGGTCCGGCGGCGGGGGCGAAAAAGCACTTCCGGCGTCAGGCGGATGCGGCCCCCAAGCTAGGAAGGCCACGCCCCTTCCTTGACAGTACGCGCAAAATGAGGCGCTAGTGCGCATGCTCAGACCGTCCCAGCCGCCGAAGGCTGCACAGAATTAAACGGTTTTTCTCAGTTGGATAGCGTCGGTGCCCTAACTTGTGTGCCTTCCCGCTTGACGGCTGCCCCACGAATGTTCCAGCCTGAATTAATGGCTAACTCTGAGCTAGAAAACCAGAAAAAAGTGGATAGTTTTACGGTCCGGTCTAACGCCCCTCCCCCTCAAATCTAGGACTCAAGAAGCCAAGTGACTTCTAGAGTCCTAGAACTCTGCGTAACAAAATCGTAACTACTACCAGGGTTTCTTACAATTCAAGAGGATCTGTTGACCATACACCCAGAGATGGATACATAATCACAGAGATGTCATTAATGGAATTTAAGGAAAAGCTGTCCCATGGCTTGTAGGGCCCTGTCTTTTAAGTGGTGATTGTCTGTTTTGGTTTTTTGAAACGAGGTGGCCTTGAACTCACTATGTAGCCCAGGCTGGCCTCGAACTAATAGCGAGTCTCCTGGCTCTGCTTCCAGAGTGCTGAGATTATAGGCATGCACCACCATGCATGGTCTAAAGTATTATTTTTCTAAACAGTCTTCTGGTTGTACCTGAGGGAGAAAGTCTGCCAGATGGGGTCACAAGCAGTGAGGGGGGGGGTCACTGTTGGATGTAGCAATGGGTAGTGAATAAGCCTCAATGCACGATGGCATGTTTGTTCCATGAAGGCAAGGCTATTATGTCTATCGAGCACCTAAAAGAGGCCCAGTGAATACTCCAATAAATATTGAATAAACGTGGAATAAAGCAAATAGTTAACCATGAGAATAGCACGAATGCTTAGAAAAATGTTTCAAACACCTTTCATGCTTGCCAAGACATACATATCACCTATCAGGGAATGTTTTTCCCTAATTGACTAGGACAGTTGAAATGGGTCTGATATGAGCTGTAACTTTCACAGAAACCTTGAATTGGGGAACTGGCGCCCTGATGGACTGCAAGTATAATACTCAAGCAGAAATATTCAAAGATGTATGGAGCTCCCAATTTTGACTGGACCTTGGAGTAAGTAGAGAAAATAAGACATACACAAGAAGCTGACCAGTGAAAATAGCATGAGACAGGGGCCAACACCATGAGCCATGGGGCACAGGAAGGCGAAAGGGGCACCACTGCCATTAGAAGCTCTTTTTGTGGGTCATTGGTACCTTATACAGCTTTGTATCTGCTGCAGACCTCATGGGTGGCAAAAGCTCCATTTGTTGGCTAAATACAGAGGGCAAGAACGTAAGTCACGTGTGGCTGGCTCCATTTTGTGCCAATGAAGAGATCTGAGCTTGTGTCTCTTCCATCTACTTAGCATACCCAGCTGTCTTTTATCCAGGAACTAGAAGTGGTCCCAGCTAATTTTACCTCCACTTATGCCTCTGTATCTTCTTCAACCACCACCCAGTGCAAATCTTTTGTCACCTCTGCCTGGATGACTTGAAGAGCAGCCTTGCTGGGCCCCAGCTACCGTTTGCCCATTATCAGTTCACCACCAAATAGTCGGAGGGATTTTATAAAAATGCAATTCTCAATTGACCTGAAACCCTTTAATGTTTTTTTTTTCTTTAATGCTTCTTACTGCTCTTAGAACAAAGATTACAGTTCTTAATTTTATTCTTTTACATGTATTTAGTACAGAGTCTACAGGGTCTCACACAGATCAGACTTGTAGTGATCCTCCTGTTTTCAGCCTCCCAAGCGCTGGGATTACTGGCGTGCGCCACCACACCCAGTCTCAGTCCCTGCCTCAACATGCCCCAGGGGGCGGGGCCGGCACAGCACACCAGGGATGGAACCCCAGTCCCTGTGCCTGCTTAAGCAGGTGCTTTAGTCTGTTAAGTTATCTGGCTGTCCCTTCAAAGGTTACAATCTTGTGATACAAGCTGCAGGGTCCCGTATGGTCTGGTCCATAATTCTCTGTCTCATATCTTTACCTCTACCCCTCTCTGTACCCCAGCCCCACAGTAACCCCCATGGCCCCAGGCCCTTGGCACAGCAGCCTCTATTATCTGCAACATACATCCTCTTCTCCTTTGCTCATTCATGATGTAATTCACTCAAAACATGCTGAGAATCTACTACATTCTAGGAACTGCTTAAGGGCTAGAGATCAGCACTGATAACAAGAGAATTCCTGGTGTGATGCAATGTACATTTTTGTTGACAAAACAAATATTAAACAGGGAATAAAACACTAACAAATGAGAAATATATATTTGCTCCTTGGCCTGGAATTCCTCAAGTCCTTATATTTCCTTGAGTGATGGAGCCAATAGGATCATCTTATACAGAGCTCCTAAATTCTTCCTGAGTCACAGGGGCAGCTTTTGTTCTAATAAAATTCCTGGTGGGTTCCTGGACAGCTCCAGGATGGGGGCTTGGCACAGAAACACCAAGTCATAATCAAAAGTATGGAACCTTCAGCCCCATCCACCTCTATCCACTAGGAAGGAAAAGGGGCTGGAGATTGAATTTGTAGTTAAACGTGCCTACATGACGAAGCCTCTATAAAATCCGAGTACCTAGTTAGAACCTGAAAGAATAAGATCCAAAAGGTACAATAGATATAGTAAAACAGAAAGAAACACAACACAAGGAATAAACAATTGAGATGAAGGAAAGGAGAAAAGATAGAAAGGAATGGGAAAAATCATGTAAGTATATTCACAGGATAGAGGAGATGATTGTATTACTAATTTCTAACAGTTCTTTGAAGGTAGCAGTTAAGGTTTAAAATTTTTACTTTGACCAACTCTATATGCTAATATTTATAATCTGAGAAACTACATTGAGGACAGCAATGTGCCATATAACAGTGTTTCAATACCTTTCATCTTGTTCTTTTAAATATGTATCATCTCTTCTGTCTTATGTATTATTTTTATACTCTCTTCAAAAGAAATTAAAAAATGAAAAGGAAAAAAATTAAGGTTTATTGAAAGGAACAGTTAATGTTTAATTTGTTGATCAATCTTGCATGCCTATATTTGATAATCTGAGCAATAAATTTGATGGTAACAATACGTACTATTAACACTTGTTAATTTTCTATTCTTGTTTTGAAATTCTGCATCATTTTTATTGTGTTATATTGCTTTGTCTTTGTTCCTTTTTTTACCGAGTCTTTTTTTCTTTTCTTTTTCTTTTTTTGTGGAACCAGGGATTGAACTTGTTTTTTTCCTCTTTGAAAAAATATCCCTCTGGGTTTCAGAGAGCTTCTGGGCTGGTGACCACGCAGAGGGGCTGGGAAGATGGCGTGCCCAAGGGGTGTAGACACTTCAGGCATCACCCTGCACCCCCATATCTTGCCCTATGCATCTCTCCCACTTGGCTGCCCGAGTTGTGTTCTGTATAATAGATCATAAATGGTGGAGTATTCCCGTTACGGCTTGTGCCTAGGTGTCCTCCACAGAGCCTCATGCAGTCATAGGTGACACTTTTTCAGAGGTGGCTGGATCTATATTGTGGGTATCAAATATTTCACCTCAGCAGTGAAAAAAGTAACTAAGACAAGGATGTAAGGACTGGATTGTAGCATATCCAGATGGTGTCTGCAGAGAATTGGGGAACCGTTTGGGATCAGAAAACCCCAAACATTTGGTGTCAGAAGTGTTTTTGAAAGCAGAAAAATCTTTTTTTCATGCAGACCCAGTACTGCCACAAATTGAAGTGCTATAAAAAGAAAGCAGGTAAAGGTTTTGAGGAAGAGGAAGCAGTTGCCACCACATGGGCCCTCCAGTGGCAGTGCCCAGCATGACTGTGAGCCTTGTGAAGTGTGGCGAGAACACTTCTCTCTCCTGTCTGATATGTGCAGTCTAATATAGCATAAGCACAGAAGTGACAGCACATCACAGGGTTCATCCCTACCCAAATGGAGGAAACGTCACAAAGCCATTAGCACCAGGAAAGGGGTCACCCTAAGGTCTGTTTGCTGTATTTGGCAGCAGCAAATGCTGCTCTTAATTTTCTGTAAGAATCTTGGTCTCCTGTAACAAGGGTGTTTGAAGCTGAGCCAGGAAGGTGTGATTGAGAAGAGTGAGCAAAAGTGATGGTCAAGGAGGACAGCAAGGCAGCCCCAGGCAGCCCAGGGAGGGCCCTGTGGGCACTGGTAAGGAACCCGATCTAACTCTTCCATGTGATGAAAAAGCACTGAATGGAGGGTTTGGAGCGCTGCTGTGAAACAATCCTGCGGGCTGCTGTGTGCACGAAAGTGCAGGTAACAGAGTGGAAGTTAAAGTACCACAGTGAAAGCAAAAACCAAAACCCCAAACCACAAAAAACTCCTGCTAGGAGCCAGAGACCTTTTCCCCCCACATAATACAATGTTCATACTCAACATGGGGCCATGAATCACACCCAAGAGTTAGCTCCCTTTGGCCCACAAGGAAACGGAAGATAAAGAAGTTTCTATCTGCTCAGTGGCACAGTGCTGGGAGTGGAGGAACTGGGATTTGAGCCCAAGTCCTGCCCTGCGCTGTTTCTGCAATGTCTTCAAATAGGAAAGAAAGGGCTTCGCGCGGAGTGAAGAGGAGAAATTATTTAAAGGAAGCAAATAGGAAAGGTTGGGACAAGTTCCTAAGTATATGCTAGTTACTCATAGGTGAAAAAATATAGCCTAAGTTTGTAATTTTTGTTGTTGACTTACACTAGAGCCATCACTCAGCACTTCCCTTTAACAGGAAGCAAGCTAGGAAGGAACAATTCAGGTTAAAGTAAAAACAAAACAGGCAAAGCAACTCTGAGGAGCTGTTTTTGAAGTTACTACAGTTTGGGTTTTTTTTTTTTTTTAAGTTACTACAGTTAGAAAATTAAAAATAAAATCTTCCCCATCACCACCAGTTCTCCTGAAATTGTAAGATTTCAATGTCTTGAGCCAGGGATATAGCTCAGCGGCACCAGCACCTGCCT